GATTAATCTAAATATGTGTCTACAATGCACAGAAATGAGTTTTATTTATGACCAAAGAGGGACTTTTTTTCTTAACTCTGATCTTAAGAAATCCATTAATGGATGAGTTCAAACATGGGTCTTGAAGATACAAGGACAGTCCAATTTTAATAAACACACTCAACAGTTGCAGGATGTGATCACGTAATACCCCAGAGGAAGGACAGAAGCTGCTCTCGCCGCTAAACAAAGGACTGGCTTTGATTATTACGTCTAATTAGTAATTACGAGCGGCTCGAACATACCGACCTTATTTATGTAAACAGGGAACATGAAGTACATAGATTGAAATGCATCTGTGGTCTCCGCTCACGGGCGCGTTAGCAGCAGAGCGATGTCGTGTTGTCTAACGAACACCAGGGCCGACGGAGGAGCGCTCGGCCGAGTTAATACGTTGTTTAGCTTTGTTTTTTCACTGTAGCTGCTTTTAGCTTGAGCAAACAGCAGTAAATAGTTTTCTAGTCCTGCGTGATCGCACATACAGAGGTAGTTTTATTTACCCTGCACCATAAATTTAAATACAGAGAGTTCATCTGAGATGGTTTTCGATGTGACGAATTTAAAGATTTGTTTTTATTAAATTATCTTATAGAATGTTTTGTTGTTCAGCTTCAGTTGAAGTGTAAATAGAAAAGCTCCTGAATAATAGATGGCTCTGACGTGCAGCTTTATGGGTTTGGCAGGAGCAGGAAATACTAAGACATACATTCACTGACAGATTAAGAGCGAATATAATTGGAGCGGTGTATTAAGGCGCGCTCGTTGTGGATGACGTCGTCACCCCCTGGTGGGCGACTTTAAACCTGCAGCTGTAAACAGGATTTATTGAGGCGCTCCTCTGCTTCCTGACTGTCATGAATTATGCAACGGAGCGACTACGCTCTCTGCATACTAACAACTCCTTCATCCAGGCTCGCTTTTATGATGACTGAATAGCGTTTTGATGTTTTGTTTGTTTGAGGCAAATTTCAGTTTTAACAAAGCTCAGAGACGCATTCGGAACATCCCCCCAGTGAACCGACGCGATTACACATTTACAAAGTTTTTTAATTGGGCCAACTCAAAGCAGCAAAAGTGTTTATTTATTTATTTATTTATTGTTTATTTTTGAGGAGGAAGAGGAGGAGGAGGAGCAGAGGTGGTGTAGTTCAAAGTAAGAGTTTGCAGTCAGATGACATCTTTGGTGGAGGTTTACTACGCTGTTCAAAAAAAGAGGAAAAAAAGAAAAAAAAATCAGTAAAACAGCTGTAAGGGTGCCATTAAAATACGTTTTTAAAAAAAGAACAAAACTATAAAAATAACTGCAAAATAATTACATATTTTGTAAGTTTACATACAATAAAATATTCTATTTTTTAAGGCCACACACTGTAAAAAGAAAAGTTTGTAATAAAATTTTTTTTTTAATTAATTTGTTTTACTAGATATTGTCAGTAAGTCAATAAGGTAGGGAATGTATATGTATATATATAGATATAGATATTAAAATAACAGTTAAAAATTTTAAGCAATTTGTTTTATCCTTAATATTTAATTTAATTTTTTTTAATAATGGTAAATGTTTTTTGGGTTTTTTTTTTTTGCTGATTTAAATACAGTAGGAATCGTCACACAGAGTAAAAAAAACATACAGATTTTTAATATTAATATTTTTTCTGTGACTTTATTAGTTATTATATGTATTTTGAAAAATCTTGGAAAATATGTAAAAAAAAAAAAAAATTTCTCATTCAATTCAAGGACTGTTTAAAAAAAAAAACATTTTTTTTTCCCTTTTTTTTTGAACAATTACTACTGAAGCTTGAACACAGCAGCCATGTTCACCAGTAGGGACCAAAACATTTCAACATTCAAAAATACTTTTTCACAATGAATAGAGTCAAACAGGTGAATCCATTGCTAAACGCTGCCCACACACTATGTGGACTCCTGAATGCTTCACGTACCTGAGCTCACTGAACTTCTCATTCTCAATTCAGGGGCATTAATCTGGTGCTATTAGAGCATCCACTCCTCCAGGAAGGCTTTCCTCAAGCTGCAGGGAGTTGGTCAGAAACATTCAGCAGTGATGCTGGTGTTCAAGATGAGGTCGATGTCAGAGAAGTATGAGGTCAAGGTCTCTCGTAAACAATAAAGCATCTGTCCTACATTATTGTTGTCGTGCGGGACGTACCTGTCCAACCTGAACGACACGTTTTGTCACCGTGTGGCACAAACACTCCTCCTTCAAAGCTGCCAAGACATTTGCAACCCAGATTCAGCAGCAGCCTCTCATCCAGTAAACAGAAATGTCTTCTGTTGTCACGGTTGTCAAAGTCTGCCCCTCAGTGGACACACAGCAGAAGGCATGCAAGCTTCTCTCTGATACTGACTTCTCTTCACATGTTCAGTTTGAGTTCATTTATGCTGATGGATCATGTGTAAATGTGCGATTTCCTCTACTGATTAATCATCTAATTATCTTATGATCAATGGTTATTTATTTGTTCTATAAAATCTCTGCCACAGTCTCCTAAACTAAAGGTACTGTCTCCTGATTGCTTGTGAAAAAGCAAGCGAACCGGCAAAAAGGAGCTGAAACGTGACCGAAAACAACAAAAGACCATTTTGATTATCAAAACAGCTGAAATAACTTTACTTTTTAATACCATCTGCCTCACTTACGTTCATCAGCCAGAGTACAGTAACAGGATTACATACAAACTTAAACCCCTCACTCTCCTCTGCTTCACTCACTCCTGGCAGGGATCCTGTGGCTCCTGTTGGGCTTTCAGTTCTGCCGGCGCCCTTGAGGGCCAGCTGGCCAAGACCACAGGTCAGCTCACGGATCTCAGTCCTCAGAACCTGGTGGACTGCGTCAAAGAGAACGACGGCTGCGGAGGCGGGTACATGACCAACGCCTTCAAGTACGTGCAGGAGAACGGAGGCATCGACTCCGAGGCGGCCTACCCCTACGTCGGACAGGTAAGACACCTGCAACCCAACTGAGAACTCCTTACCGATCGTTTCCCGTCAATGGGCCACATTTAACACACTTTCCGTCACTGGTATTAAAGCATGACGAATCACGGGACTGTGGTAAACCGTCCACAGGAACTGAGGTTTATGTGCTGAACACATACATTGCTGGTGTGACATCCTGTTCTGTGGCCGCGTTTAGAACCAGTCTCACGGTCGACCTAAACGTCACCAGGATGTTCACCATTAATACACGAGGAATGCAAGGTGGTGCCAAAGTTTAAGATTAATGGTAGCAACTGGATTTACTTGAGTTCCTTGAGGATGTTCCACCTCTCATCCAAGAGGCTTCATCAGTTCTGACGGACTCATTGGGAGTTCCAGGTACTTGTATCCTCAACCTTTCAGTTGGGGGTTGAAAGGTGGTGAAAGCTCTTCAAGGAACTCAAGCAAGTCCAGTTGCTACGATTGATCTACGAGAAGAACCACGACCTGGATGACTGAGAATCTTCACAGACACATTAAATTATTGATTGTTAATGACTTGATATATGTGAAGACTCCACGTCCAACTCCATCTTCACAAACCTTCAGGGAATCCACTTTTCCATCGTCTACCTGAGACAATACCAATCAAACTTAAGTTATCTCTATTTTTCAGTTTGATTGATTTTATCTCAAGCAAACAACAAGAAAAATACGTTTTCTGACAAAATGAACTCTTCATATGTCAGATAGAAGTATATTTATTAATAACTGTATGTCCTACATATATTTCTAATGTTAAAGTTATATAGGAGCTCTTATAATTATATTGCATTTCTGTTTTGGAGCATGCCCTGACCCCTTTGACCCTTAGAGTCACACCTCATGTCTAAAGCTCATTCATGAACACATCACACCGCATTCGTTTTGATCTCCAAAAGACATCTAAGCAAAAAAAATTACAGATTGTTCAGTTTGGAACCAGCAGTATTTTAAAAACCAACATCGTGACAATCTTCCAGCGATCAGTGGTTAACTGTCGACACAGAGCGAAACCAGAGCGGTTGAAGTTTCCTTATTTTGCTGCCAGAGCTCTTGACACATTCTCGTGTTGCGACAAACGCACACGAACGGGAAAAAAAATAAATAAATAAATACCAGTGATGCCACTCTGACTTCAAACCCGCAGCAAGTATTTGGCAGAGCTGATTGGAAGTGATTCAGCAGAAGCGATGAGCGAGAAACTCCCACAAAGCAAACACAGTTTCCACTTCAGTCGTTTTTAAATGCGAGAAGGAAGTACATCTGCTGGGGTAATGATTAAAAGCAGAAGCGTCCTCGGCGTCTGGATAAAGGGGGTCAGTCATGTTATGAAAAATGAAACACGTGACAGTAAATTCGCAATGTGTATGAAACATCCTAAACTTTCAGATCATCGCGGGTATTTTGTGTGCAGTTTACGTACATTTCCAAGAATACCACTGTTGGATTTGAGGATTCAGCGTTTTCTCCCCGTTTGCCTGATCTGCAGGACGAGCAGTGTCGCTACAACTCGACGGGCATGGCAGCCCAGTGCAAAGGCTACCAGGAGGTCCCGGAAGGGGACGAGCACGCGCTGGCTGTGGCGCTCTTTAAAGTGGGTCCGGTGTCCGTGGGCATCGACGCCACGCAGACCACCTTCCAGTTCTACCACCGAGGTCAGTGAAGCGCTGACAAAGACACCGACTGGTCTCCCTGTTGGGATGTGTGTCATTTCAGGCCATGTGAAGATAAAAATGTTGCTGTGGTGTTATTTGAGGGAACGTTGTGCGTTGTGCAGCTGCTTCAGTTACTGCTGAGCTGCAACCTTCTCAGTACAGGAAGACAAATTCAAATGGTTCTCTTAGACAAGCTTCTTACACATTTTCTGTCCCCTGGAGGAGATTTTCAGTCAAAATAGCTCACAAATGCGATATTTTATGACTCTAAAATGTTGAATATTCAACTTTACAGTCTATCATTTTGAAGTCTAACACATAGGGGACATTTTAAACACTGCTTCCAGTATTTTTAAAACTTATGTTGAATTTGGGGCTGCAAGGTGGGTGGGTGGTTAGCACTGTTGCCTCACAGCTAGAAGGTCGCCAGTTCGCGTCCTGGTGAGGACACTTGTAATCTTTCTGTGTGGAGTCTCCATGTTCTCCCCGTGCAGCGTGGGTTCTCTCCGGCTTCCTTCCACCAGGTCCAGAAACATGTTGAGGTTAATTGGTGATTCTAAATTGTCCGTAGGTGTGAATGTGAGTGTGGGATTAAGGTGTAGAGATAATGGATGGATGAAATTTGGTATGAAAAATGGTACCCCAGTTTTCATCCACAACAGGAGAACAAATGTAATAGTGAACATCATCTAAGCCAAGTTTTAGGTCTCAGCGAGATGATTTTCAACCTAAACATTGAAGGAGCTCCACACTTTGGTTCACTTTGGGCTCACAGCTTGCTTCCCCCTCTGCCATGTGCCCAGGTGTTTACTACGACAGCAACTGTAACAAAGACGACATCAATCACGCCGTGCTGGCCGTGGGCTACGGAGTGAACACCAAGGGGAAGAAGTACTGGATTGTCAAGAACAGGTGGGACACATCACCTGTCTGAACGGCACCAGGTGGCTCATAGGGCCGCCGAAATGAAATGACAGTTGTTTGTTGGTGCTGCGTTTGTTTGATGCCTTCTGTCAGCCGCGATCGTCGGTGACGAAGCTGAAAGGCTGTTTGACTCCTGGCGACGCTCAACACCTCTCATGTGTTTCTATCTCTGTCGCCGTCCTTTGTCTTTCCCCTGACAGCTGGAGCGAGAGCTGGGGCAACAAGGGCTACATCCTAATGGCACGTAACCGTGGCAACCTCTGCGGCATCGCCAACCTCGCCAGCTACCCCATCATGTGAAGACGCGAGCGAGGAACACGAGGGAGGATGACGGGGCTTTGCTTAGACTACTACACTCATAACAAATATACTTGGGAATGTCGGTAGAGTTCGTTTCAACATGTCAGGAGCCACTACAACAAACATGACTTTGTTTACACAGATTTTTAAAACAGCAAATATGAGTTTTAATCATGAAACAACAGAAATTAAAATTTTGGAATTCCAGTGAGGAAAAGGGTTAAAAAAAAATGTCGTGGAGTCTTGGAGTCCAACGTTGAGGACGTTTGGTTATCTTGAGCTATATGAAGCACTTTGAAGCCCTCAAGTCTTTTGCAGTTTATCTCCAAAGCAGCAGACCTCCACTGATCCACAAATAAACGTGTCCAGTTTCAGTAGCTTCAGGGCACAGTGCTGGTGGAGTCATCCTAACCTGCAACCTGGGTTAGTTTTACGCCAGAAGTCAAATCTACAAACACTCTAAACAACACATTTTGTAGTCAATGATAGTCTCCACCCCCTAGTTTTAATTATTTTTGTATGAAAACGAACACATAGGAAACATTGCTGGGCAATGGGAGCTCCTCCTTTCCTGTTGACGGAGAGTCGGTTCTTATAAATCTTTTTTTTTTTTCCCTTGATCACGTGGACTGCTGTTGTTCTGTTCAGCACTTTTAATTCAATTGTAAACTGATGTTTTCTATGAAATTGAATAAAGGTTTCATTTTGAAGGTAACCTGTCGTGGAATTTTTAATGCCCAACCAAGGAAACAGTAAAAACTACGATAAAGATCATCAAACTACCATCACCTACAATATTGTACTAAAGTAATTCTCACTTGATCTTAAGTGGATGGATAAAAGTCTGATAGATGCTTGAATTGACAACTTAACAACCCAATGATGCATCTTCACACCATGATCTAACACACACACATACACACACACCAACTGGCTTAACATCTGTAAAAATGTACAAGAGCTGCAGCTGACTCAGTAAATAATTAACTTTGATATAGTGGCAGTGAAATACTGAAAACATGAAAGTTTTAACTATCGCTGTAATAAATGCAGGCTTCATTAGTTTTTTCCATTCTGCTAAGAAACTCAATGAAAAATTCATTTTCTCAAACGCCTTATTTCATTCAGTTTAGTCTTCGTCCTTTTTAAAAATCATTGTTACCCGCAGGCTTTGTACTTATTTAGTGATACAAAGACATTTTTAAGTATCAGGCAGCCATGTTTGTTGTTGAAACACCTCTAAAAGTACAGCAGAAATCCGTACGTTTTCACTACATTGTCATTTTAAATACCTACAGTTAACAGCAGAAGTCTTCGTTTTGGGAAAAGATTCCTATTAGTGCTCTTGTCGGGGTGGCTGTGGCTCAGGTGGTAGAGCGGGTTGTCCACTAATTGCAAGGTCGGCGGTTCAATCCCTCATCCTCGTCCACATGTCAAAGTGTCCATTGGGCAGGACACTGAACCCTTAGTTGTTCCCAGTGGCAGGCGAGTAGCGTTGGTGTGTGAATGTGGAGTTCCAGACACTTATATCCTCAAGGAGCCATGAACACCTGAGTTTCTGTATCTGGATCTCCCAACTCGTCAGTCAGAACTGCTGAAGCCTCTTGGACAGAGCTGGAACGTCTTCAAGGAACTCAAACAAGTCCAGTTGCTACGATTAATCTACCAGAACAACCATGACCTGGATGACTGAGGATCTTCATAGACCTCATGTGGATGTTACTTTGACCACCCACCTAAACATTGTTGCAGACCAAGCACCCCCCAACACCTTCAAAGTACTCATGATAGACTTAAAGAACCCAGCAAAGCACCCAAGACATTGAGTCAAACTTAGAGCACCCCAGATCTCAATCTGGTCAAGCATGCACCAAGCTCAATCCACAAAGGCTTCACCCAACAATCCAAGTGACGCTAATGCCAAAATCCCAGAACACACCAGAGGTCCCAAGTCCATATACCAGTATACCCAGTCATGACATATTTACCTAGAATAGTCAGCTGACTACAGGAAGAGATGGATGCCTCTGATGTTTAGGCCCTGAGCACCATGTCTACAGAAGCAAGGGTCTCTCTCAGCAGACAGAATCCCAAAAACGCCCCTGAGACAGTCCAGCACATACCAGCAGGAGGCACGTTGGGATAGCGTACACCAAACAGCACAACCAAGTAACTGGTACAGTGTACAAGAACATTTGACCAGACTAGAAGTCCCCAGTTTTCCATAGAATACAACTAAATGTGGTCGAGAACAACGGAGCTAAGATTCTCAGCAGGTGCTGGCTAGCCAACCAGACCTAGTGGGGGTAGACGAGAAGCAGAGGAGGACAGTTTGGTAGATGTAGCAATCCCAGCTGATGGTAACAGCAGGAAGAAAGACCCTTAAAAGATGTACCAGGGGTTGATAGAACAACTGGAACAGATGTGGAAGGTGACAGTCATGGTGGTCCCAGTGGTAACAGAAGCATTAGGGCAACCCCCAAACTGAGAGAGATGGCTCCACCACGTCCACGTCTGAGGCTTCTGTCAACTAAGAACTAAGACTGTCTGTCTCCCAGACCTCTGGTAGAGCACCCAAGCTTGAAGAAGACACAGATCGCCCCCACCAAGTTCTAACAAAGTGTAATATTTTCCTAAACCTAACCAAGCAGGTTTTTTTTTTTTCATATGTTACGGCCCCAGAGCCTCTGTCTTCTCTTTGTCACTCTTCTCTTGCAGGTTTCTGGCTGGGCGGAGCCTCCAATCTTCTAACCTGGTACACCTGGCCAGTCTCCCTGAGTATATAAGCCAGACCTCACTCTCTTCTCCCACACCCAGCAGACCATGCTCTTGCATTTGTGTCTCTTTGGTTTGTTTTGCACTGACAGCATGCACCACACATTGACCGCTGCATTCATTAACCCTCGCACACCACTGACACTCACAATCACACCTCATGATCCTACTTTGTTTTAATAAATAGCGCTACGTTGTAGTAGAACTCATCTGTGTGTCTTCTCCTTTGTTGCGGCCTAAGAGCCAGTCGTAACACCTAAACCTACGAAACTTAATTCCAAGACTTTACTCTGATCAGCATTAAAACCACATTTACTTTCTTATATTCATACTAAACCAAGTTTTATTATAGAAGTCAGATTAGACTGATCAGATTATGTTCCACCTCACTAGTGTGGGACAGTCCTCCTCCCCTGAACTTCCAGCTCGCATGAATAAAAAGTCCAGTTTGCTGTGGGGGGATCTCTGACCTTTGCATGCTCATGAGCCCATTTACAAATGCTCCAATAAAATCCCAGAAAGACAACGCTGAGTTGCATTATTTGTCCACAGATGTCCACCGCAAGGCCTATTTAGTAAATTTGGAAAGTTAGCAGACGATTGCAAATGTTCCAGTGCACTGAAAATTAATTTTCTTTTTAGAACCATAACTGGGATTGTAAAATGTGAGTTATTGATTCCCTAACTGTCGGGATGTACAGCAGTATGTGTATTTTGTATGATGCTAGTCTTTTAAAAGCAAGTGGCGTGATTTAAAACATACAACTTCCATGTTGAGGGCTTTTATTCTGCTATCAGTGATGTATTCTTCTACGTCCAGCAGTAGGCTGCCAGAACACACGGTGACCTCCTAACCTTTCAACCAGAACTCTTACCAGGTCAAATATTCATCTTGACCTACACTTCCACAAAGCAACTGACCGGATTTCCAAGACTTGCGCAGCGCTCCCCATTTCAGCGACCTCCCTGACCTTTCCTATTCCACCGCCATCAAAACCACAGTGTTGAGTTCTACGCAATAAATACCACAATCTAATGAATAGATTGCCACAATATTCATTTCCCCCAGAGAAGAAAAAGGAGTGTTTTCCTTTTTTTTTCTTTTTCTTTTTGTTTGACAGCCTCGGGGCAAATCAGGGGAAGCCATCTTTGTACAGGGATAGTCCAATAGTCTGTCTGACTGCCATGAAAAATACAGTTGGGAGCATCTGCTGAACATGACTCTTCTCCTTTTCACCTGCATTGTGAGGAGTGATTCATAACATAGCCTCCAGAGCAGGGGTCTGGAGGTAGAGTCTGGGTTTCAGGTAGTCCAAAAAAAAGGACAACTGATCCAATCTTCTCAATCTTTATTAATAACAACTCAGAACATGAACGGTTCTTCAGAAGATCGGCTCCTCTTACCAGAGACCTGGCAGCGCTTCTTCTGACTCAGCTGAGCCACATCTGGCTTGAGGGAGGAAACAACTGAGACCCTCAGTTTGGCCTGAAGATGCTCATCAGTAAGTTTGGACCTGAGGTTTGACTTATTAGAGTTCATGGTGGAGAAGAGCTTTTCACACAGATAGAAATAAACAAACAAAACATGCATTTGCTCTGGGTGACAGGATATATGTTCCCTCCACTCTGTGACTCTCCTGAATCACGTTTCAAGTGTTGCTAATTTGCATTGCTGTCACGAGCCTGAGCTATGGTAGCCCACAAGGGATAAAACATATAAAACGCCCAGGATAACGACTCCCGTCATGTCAAGTAGGAGGCCACAAAATATCGTCCGGCGGGCCTCAATTGGCCCACGATCCGCGAGTTTGAGACACCTGCTCTAGAGCAGTGGTTCTCAAACCCCTATGGGGGTCCCAAGATCATTTCAGGGGGTCGCCAGATCATTGTAAATAAAAAATAAAGCCTACATTTATCACATAAATGTGTATTAGGGCTGTCAAAATTAAAAGTGTATACTTCCTCCCACTCCTTTTATGGACTTGTTAATATTATGATTTGATTAAACAACATTATGATTCTATTTTGCTCTTTTAAAAATATTTTCTTTTGTTTTTATATATTTTTGTCCCTTTCATTTGTTCAAAATAAATTACATTTATTTAAAAAAAAAATTAACAAGAGATTAATCTGTGGAGTTAACACATTAAATTTTAACCCAATAATGCCTGAACAACAAAGTTATTACTCATCAGATATTACAATTTCAAACTGGGGGGTCATGAACTCAAACTTATGTTATCTTGAGGGTCGTGGTTCAAAAAGTTTGATAACCCACTGGTGTAGAGGATGTTAGTGGGACATTGTCAAGACATATTTGTGTTGTTTTTTAAATGCTAAATAAGATAACTTGCTCATGTCATATTTTCCAGTTATGAAGCTTTCAGCTTATTGAAAACAGACTCATAATGAACCTTTCTTTCTTTCTTTCTTCCTATATTTAACTTCTCCTCTCTTGCATTGTTTTTTGGTGTAATTACCAAACCAGTGGACGAGCTGCAGCTTTCTGTTTCACAAGAGGAAGAAGTGCGACAGACGGACCACGTGACGCTTCGGCTTAAAACGATCAAACCAGGAAAACCAAAGTCAGAGCAGCAGGTTGAACGAGGAAGCAGCGATGACCGACCGAGGCAAGTCTTTTCATCAACACACATTTACAGCTTAAATCAAAAATCGTGGTAATATCTGCTCATTTAAGGGGCGAGAGATCCGCCGATAAACGAGTTTCTTTTACTTTCGTTTTCGTGCTTTTAGAGGAGCTGCCTTTAGTTTGACACTACAGGTGTGTCACCGCAGAAAAACCTCACTGAGATGTTTTATAACTGAGGTTAAATGTGATTATGTTGGTTTATAAGGACGATTAAATCACTCAGATATACAGGTAATGTAGTCTTTAGTCATTATAGAGTGATTAAGTTAAGCTGTGGCATTTGTGTAGTGTTCCTGTTAAACCCTTTATTAAAAGTTTAATATATATATAGTTCTTATTTGTGAAGTTGGTGATTAGATAAGTCAGCGACGGCCTTTTACTTTGGAAAAAAGTCAGTATTACCTGGAAACAAAGCCAACTTCCACTGCTGTGAGTCACCCAGAGAGTCAACAGAGCTTCAGATTCTAGTGAAAAGTCATTTAAGGTTTAGATTTAGGGTGTTTTTGTTGGAGTCGGACAGATAACAGCACATCTTCCTCAAAGAATTCAGCAGTACTGGAAAGTAACTGAGTACTTTTACTCAAGTACGCTGCTTTGGTTGTAAAGGTATTTGTAATATACTCAAGTATTACCTTTTAATGCAGCTTTAAACCTCCAAAAAACAAACATCCAGGAGTGATGATGTAATGCGCTGTCACAGTGCAGCACCTCGTTAGGGATTAATTAGTGGTTTCCAGTGTTTTGATTGGCTTCTGAGGTCAGGATGTAGTCGAGCTTACATTCCAGAGGTGCTCACATGAAATGGTGAAACTTTTTACATGCAACCAAAGATCCAGGTGAGAGGAAACTGCTTCATGTTTGTTTTTTTCTTCTTTCTTCTCCTGTTAATCACGTCACAAGTCCTCAGATTCACCTGCTTTCCTGTATCATACGTACAACAGTCACATGCTTCCCACTAGCTGATGCTTTATTATTCATCATCTAATATATAATATATAATACAGTGTGTCAGTCGAAGGGACTAAACCAACACTTTTGCATTTTTATATTATATCTGTGCTGTGCTGTTAGTGTCACTCAAGGATGTGAAGGTGAGGCGTTCATGGCAGCTCTGCCGACTGAACACAGTCACTAAAACTAATCTGGGTTATCATGGACTCTCTCTTCCTTAAATAAATGCTGATTCTGACCATTCTGGCACCAAACACCGACCAGCCTGGTGACATGCACTGTACTTGTTCATGAGTTTCACTTCTGGTCTTGTGACAGCTGAGTCGTTTAGGGACTAATGTCTAATAATCAGCTTAAAATTTGTGGAAGTGATACTGAGTCTGAAGACACAATCATATGTGAGATGGGTATGGATGTGTTTTTATAGTGTGTGTTTTGCTTTTTTGTCCACCTCAGTCGGACCATTTGACCTAAAAAAAACAAGTAGTCTAATGCAAAATATAATGAGCACAGTTTACAGTATTGATGTGTGTTGAACCTGCAGGGCTTCATCTAGTAACTGATCAACTGTAAGAAAAATAATCTGCAAAAAGCAAAAATTATTTCGTCGTTAAAGGGCTGTAAATAGAACAAAAGTTTTAATATATATGTTTAGGTTAGGTAGAACTGTATTGATCCCTCTGGTAGGGGTACCTCAGGGAAAGTGTTGGGAAATTTATGTTATTGATCGGCAGCTGTATGATTTTTTTATTTTTTATTTTTTTTAATTAAACCAAATAATTTATCCAGGAAATAGCCAACAGATTAAATAATAGTGAAAATAGTTGCTAATACATAGACAGTATGTACGATGTACATATCAGGAAAAACTCTAAAAACTTAAACACCTAATTTTGGTAACCTGAATTTGTACATTATATGACCAATAGGGTTAAGCTTCCACTTTCCCATGATTCATTTGTCTATACAACCCAATGAGGAAGCACAGACATTTGATTTGTGACGTAAGCGTCACATGAGAATAATGAAGCTGTGAAACCGTTGACGCAACAGTTTAAACACACTTCGTAACGTATAGCCTCAATTTCAGGCTGTGCGTTTTGCTAATTGCAGTTATTTCAGCTTGCATTTTTGATTTGACTACTTGTTCAGCCCGACTAGGAAGTACACTTTGCAGGGTTTTTAATCACAGCTGTACTTTTTCCAATCGCCCAAAACAAACCGTAAAAAGAGTCGTGATACTTTTCGGTGGCAGAAATCTTGAGCAGTGAATATTTTCCGAACATCTAAATATATGCATCTGTTAAAACAGATTGAGGTTATGGGAAGAAAACACATTGGGCTGTGTCCTCAGGGCTGCATGGTAAAATATACTGCAAAACTCATTTTTAGGAGTCAACAACAACAAAATGCACACGAGGATCCGACAGCAGCGACGTTCCTGCGGTTGCAAAACGTTACAGAAACCTTACGAGGGTGTAAGATCAGCTCCACTCGCTCGTGTTTGTGTTGAAGTTAATGTACTTACGGCGCTGAGGAGGGGAGAAATGTATGAAATAACAACTTTTGTTCACTCTCCCATCGGAGTTCATTTCAACTTCTGTCCTGCAGCTGGAAACCAAATGTCTAGACGCATGCAAATACTTTTATATTCACTGAGAAACTTTTTATTCAGTTCGGTGTTTGCTGGTTTAGTAGGTATCTATTTAGTCTAGTCTGAAAAGTTAGAAGTGTGCAAATCTACGCCCCCATTCATCAGTTGGTTATTTTGTGCTGGTCGGTGTTTTTACTCTTGGCAATGTGAGTCTGGCTATTTCTTTATCGTGTTCTTGCAAAAGGTTTAATTGCTTCCACTTTGACTGCACAAAAAGTAGAACACCTGTTGCATCATTCCTGTTTATTACTAAAGACAGTTAGACCCACAGTTTAGCCTGGAAAAACTGAAGTGTTCCAGCTCGTTTGTTGCTCGGCCTACGTGCAGAGGTAGCACCTGCACATTTAGAAACCACTTCCTCCTCAGACGTCAACACTCACATGTTTTGTTCCTCCTGCAGTAGTCTGGGTCTCGTGCACCGGACCGCAGCCTGGTACTGGGACTGCTGTAAACGCTTTGGTGACTCATTAAAATATAATAACCGACCAACCAAACCGGTATAGCGTAGCCTGAAGACGTCTGTCAACACAATACTCCTGCCTGTCCACAATTATTTGAGTTTATTAAGTTGAATATTGTCAAGTAGCTTGGAGGAAACGTTTTAGGTTGTTCTCACAAAGTGAACAGAAGTTTAAAAATAAACTTGTGAAACAGCTCATAAACACATGCTAGCAGTTGAGTTGTCTGGTTTAGCAACTTAGCTTAGTTGTTAGCTGTTAACTAGCTAGCCTAACTGACCAATTCAAAGTTTATACCACTGCAAGGTAAACAATAGTGGTCAGTTAATTTGTCTAGCTGACCTTCCAACTTTAAATTACACAAGCATGTACAATTTATGCAAGTAATGGCTAGCTAATTAGCCTAGTAGACCTGACCTTTAAACTTGGAAGGTCAGGTAACCGATAGCTGATTAGCTGACCATCCAAGTTCAGACCATGCTAGGATGGGTAATGGTTAGCTAATTAGCCTAGCTGACCTGACCTTCCGAGTTTAAACTACACTTGCATATACACAAATAATGGTTAGCTCATTAGCCTAGCTGTTTTGTTTTTTTTTTTTTATTTATTTTTTTATCCAAACTACATATATAAGGTAAGCATAAGGGCTAGCTAATTACCCTTGCTGTCTTTTCAAGTTTAAACGACAATAGTGGGCACATGCTAAGCAGCTAACAGATAGCTAATTAGCTGCCCTTCCAAGTTTTGACCATGCTAGGCTGGGTAATGTTAGCTAATTAGCCTAGCTGACTTTCCAAGTTTAAACCACACTAGCATATGCAAAGTAAGCAAGTGTTGGTTAGCAAATTAGCCTAGCTCTTCATTAAAATCTAAACCTCACACTTTAGCCTTTTACACCTCAAGTCAAGCTTTCTGTTTTTGTTTTAATTTTAATTTAGTTTTATTTATATATTTTTTTTCAAAGTTTAAGAATGAAACTAACAATATATAATAATTTTTTACAAAACTGAATGTTTTTTTTTTGTCTTTTTTTTTAAAATAACAGTTGGCTTGTTTTTTTTGGGCCACATTAACATTTCAGCCGTATTTCTCGTCCCTTTAGTTTGATAAATATGTTAGAATTAAGTATGTTTCGAGCTATTATGTATTCTGAATTTGTATTTTGCACTGAGCCTATGATTCTGTTTCGTATTTTCCTACTGAGAACAGCATATGTCCTTGAAGATAATATGGGCGGTGAGAACCGGTTCGCACACTTGGAGACAGCAGAAACTCCTCTGTTCTACTAGATACGATTGTTACTTTAGCTACACGCCGTACCAACAACATCCACACACGTTGCTTACCAAATATCAAGGACGTGGACAGAGCACAAAAGGATGCCTGTCCACACCACTAGTAACTGGCCAACTAAATCTTATCTATGTTGGGGGCAGGCCCAGCCCAAGAAGATATCTGTAACCTGGAACCGAAAACACTCAGTTCAGCTGGACATGAGATTCCTCTCTGTCCCTCTGAATTCCAGCGCTGCCTCACTTTACCTGTGACTAAAATAAATAAATTATACAACTGAGAACTGAAGATTTCTCCGGCTTGTTCTTGGGCTTCCAACTGAAGAACCGGATCTAACAAATACTTAATTATTCAGAGAGGAATATAAGTGAGACCTCTGCAAACCCACTGAGAGTTTATTGAATTACAATAATCATGAAATAAATGCAATGAGCTTTCTTGAACAAACAAAAAGTTGCTCATATTTGTGAAACAAGTCTTTGTTTTGTCGTCGTCTTGCTAACATTTAATGCAGCTTTGGAAACAATCAGTCACGTCCAACCCACGGCCTCTCAGAAGCTGCTTCTGTGTGGTTTTCAAGAACCAGTCGTCTGTTTCTCACTCGAGGCGATCTCTGCCAGTTGTTTTTCTCGTTGTCTCATCAAAGGTTAGACGACATCCTGCCTCCTCATGCGGCCCTTGTGTCTCTCTGGGTGTTTGCAGGCCTGATGTTGGGGAGTCTGCTGCTGGTGTCCCTGTGTGTCGGGGCGGCGGCCATGGACAGCAGACTGGACCTCCACTGGGAGCTGTGGAAGAAGATGCACGAGAAGATGTACCAAAATGATGTATGTGAGAAACAAATTTGCTGGTTTTCTGTTTGTGTGAAGGTGTATGTTGACCTTGTGCACTCTTTCTACATGTGTTTGTGTCGAGGTGGAGGATGTGCGCCGCAGGGATTTGTGGGAGGAGAACCTGATGCTCATTTCCCAGCACAACCTGGAGGCCTCGATGGGGCTTCATAGCTACGACCTGGCCATGAACCACATGGGAGACCTGGTGGGACACTTCTATTGATTTTTGAGTATCATTTGTAGTTATTAATGACCACTGTCTTGATGATGTTTAGCGGAATAGATATAGTAAGAACAGCTCGTTTTTAGGCAACCGAAGACCCCCTAAAGGTTCGGTTTTAAATGCTAGCTTTGGGGTTGATAAGTTAGATGTGGAGTTGCTCAATGAAATGGAACTTTAAGATGTTCAAATCGTCTTTATTTTGCAGCTTCAAGAATGCCCGAACAAATTTCCTTCTGTTTACGTAACGTTTCCCCAAAAACAACAGTGCCGAGCTGCTTTGTGACATTTTGGAGCTTCTTAAAAAGTAAAATAAAATAAACCCTGTCTTCAAAATGTGTATCTTCAGCAGGTGTAACCACCTCAGTCACTGGCTGGTTCAGAACCCCTCCACTCTGCGTTGTGTTTATTTATTTATCAAGGAGTCGGAAGCATAGACTGTATAAAAGATGGACGTAGCAACCGGCCCTGAAAAATGAAGCCAACCCGGAAGTGTCAAAAACCTGCAATCAATCCGTCTGACCAATCGCTGCTCCTATGGCTCCGCCCCACTCCGACGATTTTTGCGTCACTGCCTCCAAAAATCCAAGATGTCAACCAGGAAGTAACCCTGGCTTCATTTTCTCAGTGCAGAAACCAACGGGTGACGTCACGGTAGCTACGTCCATCTTTTATACAGTCTATGGCTGGAAGGCAGTAATGTCTGTCACCATTTATTGGTCCGTCTGGCAATATGAGAAACACTCAGCGCTCTATGAAAGGAGCAGCACGGCCATTTTAGCTCATGTTCGCTAGCTAGCTAGCTCACGGAGTTTCTCAAACTCGCCATAAACATATTTAGACAACAACACTCATATCAATACAGTCTAGTGAACATTCATGTGGTTGATAATGCACTTATACTCCTGAGATAAACAAAGGAAAGCTCATAACACAACCATTCATGAGCCCGTGCACCACAGCTCCGTAGAGGGCGCCACTGAGCCAACAAGTCAGCCTGACATCCAAACCACAGCAAGTGGAATCATCCACATATACGCTGTTACGTAGGCTTAGTGTTGAGAGGGACACACAGGTTGGATTAAGGATTACGACACCAACAAACACATCGCTGCTTTCAGATCTTGTCATGGGAGTTGATGACTAAGCAAATTGAATGTGCTTTAGAGAAATTACCACTAATTATTTGCTGCACAATAACCAGCAAGCAGACGGCAACAAAAAGCAATCTGCCAAAACCTTCTTCTCAATTATTTTTAAACATTAATACCAGTAATCTTCATTGATAATGTGCAGTTACAGCGTTTGGTTTCTTTATGAATTCATATTTAATGAATGTAGAAACAACATCTCAGCTGATGCCAGAGTTCTTCTTTGTATTCATTTATTCAATCATTAACTGCGGACACTGTGAAGCTGAATGCTTCGTTAGATGAAGCTAATGTGTTTAACTAATATAATATAATGAAACAATAAATTAACGTGACTTTGGTTTAACCTCAAATGTAAATGAGCAAACACAGGGTTTTTATCGTTTCACCCTTCGGCTCTTCCAACTTCTACATTTTCTGGGAAGCTGTTGTCTCTCGACTCTGGCCTTTGAGACTCGGCTGAAGTAATGAGATGATTCCTGCTCTCAGCTCGACCACTGATGGAGCTCACCAGGCAGTCCCACAGCGTATCCTGGGTCTAAACTAATGAATGGCTAAACCAAGCGATAACCAAGTGGTGTCTGGTCTGTTGTCCTTTAACCTCAGTCTGTTTTGAAGACTATTTTGCAATGTTCAGAAAGACTTTAGAACTCAGGAGGAAGTAAACAAACTCAGTTCAGAGAGCAGAAGGGCGATGATTAGATGAAGCATATTTATCTGTTTGGCCTTTTTAGGGATCTGATATGTGCGCTCATAAAACTCTGATGCAGGAGTTATTTATTTACTTCCGATCTCATGGAACATCAGCGATAAAGACCTGATTGTGACTTATCTGTTCGATTGCTCTTTACCCCCAACAACATTGAAATGTCACGAGTTAGCTTGTCCTAGCCAAACCGGCGACCTTCTAGCTGTGAGGCAACTGTGCTAACCACCGAGCCTCCTTGCAGCCCCGCAAATCTTCATTAATATATTTAAAGTTTATTTTTTGGCCAACAGCAGGCCATTCTTGTGGTAAACTCCTCACGTCCATATTCACACGTCCAGCAAGCTCAGTTCAATACTTCTGTTTGCTCGGAGTCGCTTTCCTGACTTTGTAATGAATTAAATCCAAATATTCTTTCTTATTTTTGGTATATATTGTACAGGTTTTTGACTATAAACAGTTCAAAATGGCGGCCATGAGATCAGCAAAGCTACGGACGTTACAGGCCACAAAGTACAAACAATGAGCTGACAGATGAAGATAAGATAAGACGTCTTTATTTATCTCAGAGTGGAGAAATTCACAGTGTTGTCAGCAGCAGTGCACACATAGAAAGAAAAATGGACATGTGAGAAATAGTGCAAACATACGTATAAAAATACACATATAAAAGCATAGTGCAAGCTTAGGATATAAAAATGAGGATACATATATAAACGATACAGAAAATAAAGATGTAATAACAATAATAAAACACTGCAAATGCAAATATATACATGCCATGGAAAGATAACAAGCAACACTTTTTACACTCTGCATGGACATTAAAACATGAAAACATTGAGTTGTGATGCTTTAACTGAAACATGTGACCTGTAGAGTTAAAGGTGTTTTAATAAGCACTTGTTGGAGAGAAAGGATGTTGAATTATCTCAAGAAAGACCAAGACACTGGAAGTAAAGATTTATTAATGCAGAACTTGTGTTTCACGGAGCTGCGTTTAACATTTAGGAGCAACAAGACAAAAGAGAAGCATCAAAATGTCCATGAGTGGGACTGAAAATACAAAGGAAATTAAAGCTGCAAGCGGCGTTGGACGGGTCCTCGC